CTAGAATTTCAGAATTATAGGAAAAATATAAACTTCGAATCTCAGAATCTCAGAATTTCAGAATCTCTGATATTCAGAATCTCAGAATCTCATAATTTTTGAATTTCAGAATCTCAAACAGAATCTCAGAATTTTAGAATCTCAGATTCAGAAATTATGAGATTCCATGATTCCGAGACAAAATTGAAAAAAAACTGAAATTGATTAATTCGTAAAAAATCGGAAAGATCCAGGGCAGCATGGATCATCATCAGCAAGGATCAACCCGGTCCAATCACAGAATGCGACAGGAAGTCAAGGAACACGGGAAGATGACCGGAAGACGGCTGAAGCTAGCTCGGAAGCTGCGTGTGTTGGGACAACCTAACTTTTGTATATGATGTTTTTTTAACATATGAAAATGCAAGATTTGTTACAAATTCGCTGTTTTCTGAGGAGTTAATACAAGTTTCATAAAAATCAAGACACTCGAGTGGAAGTTTTTTCTAATTTTTTTCTCTAAATGATTCAAAATTAGCCTAGACTTCGATTTTATTATAGAAAAATAGCTGACAAATTCACACTTAACAACACTCAACACTTAACACTTAACATAAAGGAGGCCAGACACCAAAAAAAAAAGTTTACCTGATATTTTGCATAGAGAACCCCCATGAGGGGTTGAACTCATGACAGGCAGCTCAGGGGTACAGCGCTGCTACCGGCTGAGCTACGGCAGCGCGAAGGCGCCTGACGACCGATGGTCTACATAAGCGCGGCGCGATTTCGTCCCCCGAACTGTCCCCCGAAATTTTTGCTGTCTCGCCTCCTTTAACACTTAACACACACACACAACACTTTTTATATACATTAAAGTAGGCCAGACATGAAAATTTTCTAGTTTTTAAATAATTTTTAATTCTAGTTTTTTGATATATGATACAGTATTATTCTTGTGCAAAAAAATTGGAGTTGTGGCCGAATTTTCACACAAGTTAGGCCACCGTATTTCAAGTAGAATTTTCGAAAACACAGCCGGCAAACGAGTGCTACCGTAACCCAACAATAAATATTTTCGCAAAATTTTTGTCTTATTTTTGGGGGTACGACGAATTCGAACGTTTTCAAATTCGAACAGACCTAAAATCGAACTGATTCAATTCAGAACAGTCTTTTTTTCGTACACGTACCAGAACAGAACGCGGACAGAATCGAACTGTTACAAGTTCGAACTGGTAAGGAGTCGAACTGTCCCAAATTGGAACGCTGTGTGC